TATAATAAACAACTTAATAACCTCGACCGTTCGGTCGTTACGGGAAAATCTCAAACCTCGGCCTACCGTATTGACCTCGCTATCGTTCGGTCAATACGGCAAGGCCTCAGTTTGAGATTTTCCCGTAACGACCTCACTCTCGGTTATTAAGTAGTTATTACTGCACAGCCACAAATGCAGGATCTTACCTTCGCATTCCTCGTCATTGTTTTTGACAAATCCGGGGGCACATGAACATACTCCTTCTTGGCAAATTTGATTTGCACCAGCTGCGATGTAAGAATATATTATTAATTCACCAGTCACTTGAACCCCCCGCACCCAATGGGGAATACCCGGGGCAAACCGAGGGTTTTCACCTTGTTTTCACTCAAGTTAGGTTCTTCGGTAGTAGGGAAATGTACCTTTTTTTCACGGCTTCGCTATACAATGCGGGGACTGAGCGGAGGTTTGGCGGGGATTTCACTTGTGGCTCGCGACCTTCTTTAGAAGACTGGGTTTAAGTTGCACGTTCGCAGAAAACATGGAGGCAGAACAACTGACGAAGAAGGTATAATTTCAATCGCTTAATATCAATGATGCTTTGATTTGATTTACGTGGTATGAAAAAAATAAATCCTGTGAAAGTTCCAGTTGCTAAAAAAATTATAATCTATTTAACGAATTGAGCTTTAATTGTGCAGGGGAGTTCACTCTGAATTTTTTATCCTCAAGACGGGGCTTTCACTGCATTCCACTGATAGTAAAAGTGTATGCGCCGGGTATCCCCCAATCAGTGTGGGGGGCGGGCTCAAATGACTGGTGCATAAGCATAATGTTTCAGCCACGTGACCTATTGTGCGAGTACGCATTCACAAAACCAGCAGACTTCCCACCGGTGAGCATGCTCAATTAATTTTTACGTAACAAAAATTGATTTTGACCGCTGAAAGTATCATCCAGTATGTTAGTAAAGATCCTAACAACTTTCCTCCCGAAATGGAGTTTCTAGCTCTTTGAAAAGACTTAAACAGCAACAATTACAACAGGGCGGGGCCGTGGCAGACATTTGGTGGCTTTACTTATGCCTCATATCAATGCAGGGTGTTTTTATTCCAATCCCTGAACCCTACCTTACCGGCCCCGCACTTTATACGGGTTGAACTCGGAATTTACGTTTCATGTCTTAATCCCTTCAAAGCAACGTTTAATCTGTAACGAAAAGTTCTGTCGGAGTTCTTTTTCTTACCTTCACAGGTACTTTCGTCATCGCTCTTTCGAAAGCCCTTTTTGCATTCACACTCGTAGCTTCCCTCGGCGTTTGCACAGACGGAATTTTTTATGCCCGAACAAGCGTCCTGACTGCATTCATCTACATCTGCAAGTATTGATGAGAGTTACTGAAAATCCGTTTGCTTTGGCTTCTATTGTTTTTAAGATGAGATCAGTATCAATCAGTATGACTTCACAACAAAACTATTCATTTTTAATAAATGAACTCGTCAAACATCCCTTGTCCGCAAACTAAGTTATTCAATTTTGTACTAAATTATTCAAGTGGATTCTAAATTATTTACTTTGATACTAAATTTTTCACTTTGATACTAAATTATTCACTCTCATTCCAAATTATTCAAATTGATTTTGGCTTTGAATCTGATTCAAAATTATCTGCTCATAGTTTTGCTACCTCGGCACGTGCCGTTTCCTGCTCCTTGAAGGATCTCTTTGTAGCCATCTTTACAGGCGCACCGATACTTGCCCTTCTCGGTTTTACAAACCTTTCCAGGGGGGCACACAAGACCATTCTTCTCACATTCTGTAATTTCTGAGAAGCCAAGGAAAAAGTAAACGTGGACGTTAATACAAAATTTCTTTGTCATTACAATTTCAAGAAGACTGTTAAAGAGGGTGGATAGGCATTATATTAGGCAAGGCATTTAACAAGAAATGACGCGCAAACTGGTGTAGTAAACTTTACAATAAAGCGCGTAGTTGGAAAACAAAAATTCTATCTTTTCACTTGACGTTTTGTATGTTTCCACATCCATCTTCAGAAGTGACCGTTTGGAATAGAAGCAGTAACAACTGAATTTAAATTCAAGAGAAGTAACTAATAAATATTTGAGGAACAATAAAAAAAATGACAGAATTAAAGCTGAAAAAATTTTCGCATTAAAACATGCAAACTATGAAGGTAAAGGTTTCTGTAGCTAACATTATATACCATTGAGCGTAGGTTTTAAATCCCAAATTAATAGAGTCTGTTATCTTACAATGGGTATTTGACCGTCCTCTTGCTAATTTCTTGCCATAATGTTGTTCAGTTGTCCTCTTTCCATTGATATTGTTGGTATTTTAATATTAGGGACCTTTCCCTTCTCATAAAAGTACAACTACGAATACTAGATTTGAAAGCATGTGTCATTTTGAAAAAAAAGAAACAATGTGGTAGTCATCGTCATTTCATTGAGTTCTGGCAAATAATTGTCAAAGCCAATCGCGGAAAAAAAAAAAAGTTCTCGACAGATAGCTACGATAACCCCTAAGCAAGCATTTCAAGACAATTCAACCTCATCGATTAGTAAATGAGCACTTCATTTAAAGCAAAATTGTAGCAACATACCTACACAAATACCAGCTTCAGACGTCTTAAAATCCAAATGACATTTGCATTCAGGTTGGTCAGGAAACAAGGGATCTACAACACACGATACCACATTGTTGCCGCCTGCTTTACACTTTTCCTCATACTCCTTCGGACATGGCAGCGAATCTGTAACATGATAAAAAAGAAATAAAAAAGATATATATATATATATGTTATTTGCCTGCCTTTATCGGTCCATATCGGGAAAACATGTGCCCTCGGTCTTGATTACGGCCTTCAGTCTGCGGCCTCGGGCCGTCAGTCAAGACCGAGGGCACAGATATTTTCAATACGGACTGGCAAAGGCCAGCAAATCGTGAAGTGTTTGTTTTTTTTTCTACGGTACTACTTTGAAAGCAACTTTTGAGTTGAATTCAAATTAAAGCCGTTCATTTTAAATCTGACTTACACGTGCGTTTGACATTTAGGGAACACGAAGCGATACTGTTTGCAGAATTTGTTTGACTCTGTGTTGATTGTTTACATTTTACGTTGTTTTACGGCTAAACAAAACAAAATTGACTAAGTTGGAAATTTCGGGGCGGCCCGTACTCGGGCACCGGATAGGAAAATCCGGACCACTGGAACGCACGCGACTAGCCAATCAGATTCAATGCTTCAGGATGCCGGACCCTTGAGAAGCTGAAAAAAAGAAACCTCAAATAATTAACTACACATTAACCAGGAGCCGTTTTTCGCGCTGCGTCCCAGCTAACTGAGCCCCTGGATGAGGCTAGAACCGAAACAGTGCTCTTTACAACACATCGTTTCACAATATTACCTTTGCAATACTTTCCATTGCCCGCAGTGTTTCTTCCTACACAGTGACACTTTCCTCGGTGACATTCAGCTTTTTTGTGACAGTCTTCATTCTTCTTACACGGATGCGCAAGCGCTTAAAAATATATTTCACAAACTCATTAATATAAATCTATCAAGGTTAAACAAACGAAATCATGACCGGGACGGTGTTTGGATATCTGATCTCAGTTACTTTCAATTGAGAAGACATATCGCACAATCAAAACATGTTTTGACCACATTTCCACACATCTCCAAGATGTGTGGAAATGTGGTCTAAACATGTCTTCGGCGAAGATCGTCAATAACGCTTCGTTATACGTCGTATTTTCTCGGTGTTTGAAAACGTGGTCAAACACGATCTTTCGTGTATGATAAATTACTATGTATAAGATCTATTAAGTGTCCCTGTTTAGTGGTTTTGTCACTGCTATTTTAACCTGACACTTAAATTAAGTCACTTACTTACTTACTTACTTACTTACTTACTTGCTTACTTGCTTGCTTGCTTGCTTGCTTGCTTGCTTACTTACTTACTTACTTACTTACTTTACTATTATTAATGGACTCAATCAATTTATATCTAACAGAATGTATCAGTGTTTGCTAATAACTCTTCCTGAAGAAATTAAGTTAACGGAATCTTAGGTACTTTCGAATTCCATTGGTCCATGGATTCCTGTTTGAATCTCCTAAAATTTCCAATGGTGAATGGAGCAGTTTCCAGAAAAAAAAACGACAACGCGAGCTATAACGAAATTATCGAAAATTTGCCAGGGGAAATTAATGTCCGTTTCAATCTATTTCTCCTTTTGAAGGTTATTTTTTTTTTATTTTCCGTGAAATTTGCGAGGAAATTTCCTTATCATTTGCCATCGTTTGGAAAATTATGGAGTTTTTTTTGGTTGAATAAATCCCGGAAATTTCGGTTAGAATGTAAATGGTTTGACTCGACCAGCCGGAAAATTTTCGAAATTTTCCAGAAAACGTAATAATAAGCGGCCATTTTGGATTTGTCCTTGAGGAAAACTCCGGCAGGGAAATTACATAATTACCGTAATGTCTTCATTTTCGAAAAGCTCCGTTTTCAAAATGTTTTCCGTCCACACCAAGACCGGCGTTTTCAAATTCCTCCGGTTTGAAGAGCGTTTTCAAAAAGCTCCGTTTTCGTGACGGATTAGTGTGGACAATAGACTCGGCTAACCGAAGAAATAAGAAAGCTACGTTTTCAAATTTCTCCGGCGGAGTGTGGACGGGGTGTAAATGTTTATTAGTATAAATCTACTGGCGTGCTATCACGAATGCCGTTCTCTGATTAGCTACGGTACTCATTATCTATTTTGGTGTAGATAGTGAGTAGCGTAGCAGTGTGCGCTTGTCAATGAGGTGACGGCCGCTTCCTTGCGTTTTTGAAGTGTCTGTGAAGAGGACTTAAATAAAGTTTTGAACGACTAGTAGATTTATACTAAAACAATTAGATTATAGTTCACTCGGGCTGCGCCCTCGTCAACTATCACGCATTATATTTCACCACCAAATTTTCTCCAATTCTTATTGGTTTAACTTGATCACGTGACGCGATGGTGTTCATCCGCGGAGAGACACTATCAGCCCATAGTGCCCGTCCGAGTAAAATACCCGGATGGATAGTACTCGTTCGTGTAGAATTTTCTGTAAACAAGCGAGCTTATAAAAAAAAATAAACAATTGAAATTGCATTAAGTGGGTTTTATTTATTTTTCTTTTTGAATTTTACATTTGACTTTCACGGCTTTCATCTCAAAAAAGTTGAGAATAATTCAATATGAGTTTTGAACTCAGGCTGGCGAGCGGAAGAAATTCTAGTGGTGAACAATAAAGACAATACAGTGTTTATGTCTCGGAACTATCGGTCCAATAGTTGCCCCTTGGAAATTTGATATTCTTAAAACTATAGTATATTTGTTTTAAGAACATCAAATTTCCGCGGGGTAATTATCAGCCGATAGTTCCTCGACAGAAACAATATTGTTTAAATAGAAATATCGATCTCATAATCTCATAATCTAATATTTGTTAAAGATAATGTTTTCTTTAAAAGAACACCCACCAACACACTCGCCATCCTTAGTTTTTTTAAACCCCTTGTCACATCTGCACTCTGCCGGATGCTTGTACATCAAACGTTCCCTGAGACATGTACCACCAGGACCACAGTCCTTGCTACATGGTAACGAATCTAAAAAAATAGCGGTCATTAATTTTAGGCAGATTGCGTTAAAAATTGTTTCATTTAAATTTCGCAACATGACATGTTGACATTATTTGAAGCCAAGATGTTGCTAAGAGCTGGTTGCCGGCTAATTTCACTTCCTAAAAGAGAGGTTATGCTAAATCTGAAATTTGAGTAGAAAACAAAGTCCCGGGGTAATGCTGAAAGTGCACATAAATCAAAAGCCAGTTGAGTTTGTGCACGAGCTTGCTTAGCCAGTTTTTCCTTAACTGCATCGCTAATGAAGAAGGAATTACCGTGTCATTATAAAAGGTAGGCTGTTACAAAGCAAACAGCAGATGGTTGATATATGTATAAAATCAACTGTCGCCTACCGGTCAAAAGTAAATAGGCCACTGGAAAATAACCAAGTAAACCACCGTATACACATTACGTTAAGGCAAATAACTTTCATATATTTTCAAATCCGTGTAGATAATTAACCGTACCTCTGCAGTATTTCCCGTTTCCAGTTCTCTTTCCTTGACAAATGCATTTTCCATCTTGACACGTTGCCCGAGAATCGCAATCCTTGTTATCAACGCATGGATGCAACGGCGCTGGAAAAAAAACCAATTGCGATAAGATCGCAATACAGAACAAACATTTTACAGTTATAATGTTTCACTTCACTATGTCAAAATGACTTTCAAGCAAACTAACAAAATTAAATAATCGAATTCTTCAGATAATTTTACCTGGCAGTACTTTCTTGATACTCTTCGACGGTCGGGATACCAGGCGAGTTTGGTCGAGCCATGGTTCGTATTTTGTTGAGCAGTAGTCGAGCCAAAATACCCATGGCGAGACCAAACGAGCCCGATACGCTAACGAAGGGTCCCAAAGAAGGTATGATTGAGTATTTACCGTAACCAAATTCGGCCAAGTGATCATGACATGGTAGCCATATTAGGTCAGTGACTTGATATTGTAGGATATCAGGACAGTAGACGCGGCTTCTGATTGGCTAAGTGCTATTTGGATACCGTAATCCTAAATAGATCATTCTTTGTTCTTACCAGGTTCACACGATTTTTCGCCCAATATTAACTCGCCCGGGCAAGTGCACTGTGCTTTAACGCATGTGGAATATTTCTTCTTGCAGTCTCTGTTGCTACGGCACTTTACAACTACAAAAGAACAATTGACAATAGTAAGTTGTGAATAATAATCACATAACGAATTCGTTCAGTGAGAAACACTAAAAAGCTGCTTCTTAGAGAGTAGATTTTCCCAAATGAACCAAGAAAGGCTCTCTCAGGAAAATTAAGGCATGGGTCAGCAATTATTTTCCTCAAAACAGTTAGGGGGTGGTCTACGTTCTGAGGCTTGTTTCATAACAACATAAACTTTTGGGAGACAAATACATCTTCTAAAGTGATTATTTTTGACTTGTCAAACTTATGCAAATTAGGTCACGTGACTTGATACGGCCAAAAAACGTGGAAAATCTTTAAGCAAAAATGGGAGCAGTTTGCAAAAAGAAGGTTTCAACAGAACTGGTACGGGACAAGTCCTAATGACAACAGCAAAGGAACTGTGCTTGGCAATTGTTGAATAGTTCATTATTTCTGGAAATAAACGGTTTCTTCTACTAGTACCCAGTCCCCCAATGAAAGTGATTTGTCTTTTTAATAGTTCCTATTTACGTATTTTAACTTTTTCAAGCGCAGAAACGATGTATGTAATGACCCTAAACTCATGAAACTAACATCAAAGTTTAAGGACATAAGAAAAGTGTTCCCATTTAACAAAAGAGATTATTTGGCTTGCAGAGACCACGTGACCTAATTTGCATATTTTCGACATTCCAAATTGACACAAACTGTCAACCTTTTGACCTGGCAAAGTTTCATGCTGCTACAACTAAAGCTTCAAAAGATACACTACCCCCTAGCTTTCCGGGTGAATAACTGGAGGCCCTTGCCTTAATTTACTTGAGCTTAAATATATGGTGCTCAGTCATTAGCCTGTAAATGTTAGGTTTTTCAACAGGTTCGTATTTTATTGAAAGAAAAAGATCTGTTTGCTTATCCAAAAACTTATGTCGATATGGGTGTGGTCCCGAGGATTTACGGTACGAGTGATTTTTGAAAATTCTTTCAAAATTGCACAAGCCTTTAAGCGAGTGAAATTTGAAAGAATTTGCAAATATCACGAGTAGTGTAGATCCTTAATTGCCTGAGACTTCATACGATTACTCATTTATTATATGAAAGCGCGCGCGTTAATTTGCTCTGCAGTGCAAATTAATAATTAGCTCTTATTATATGGCTGTGTCTCACAAGGACTGGGAACTACCGAATGCACAAATTTGATTGGCTGAAATCGATATTGACCGCGGTCTAGATTTTCCCATCTAGACCGGCATCTGTAGACCGGTTTCATCGTGCGCTGAAAAAGTAGCAAACTAAAATACAAAAATGTTCACCATTTTCTTTTATTTCCTTCTCAATCATTTATGGAAGTGTTAAAAAGCCTGATGACAAAAAAAGAAATAAAGAGGGCGAGCAAATTTCGGCAGGTTTAAGTTAAGCTCATCGCCGTTTGCAAGCAAAGTGTCAGCAAACCAGTTACATTAAACGAATTAAAGTTTTCTTCTTTGCCATATAATAAAGATCTTACTAGCCGAGCTAAGTCGGTCTGTATGGGAGAATCTTGACCGAGGTCGTGTGTACAGACCTCACTGCTTTCGGTCTGTTCTCACGACCTCGGTCAAGATTCTCCCATACAGACCGACTTAGCTCAATTAATAAGAGCTAATTATTAACCGAGCAAGAGCTCTGTATGGGAGAATCTTGACCGAGGTCGTGAGTACAGACCGAACGCAATGAGGTTTGTACACACAACTGAGATAAAGATTCTCCCATACAGACCGACTAGGCTCGGTTAATAAGATGTTTATTATATGGCAAGCAAGAGAAATTTAATTCGTTTTGTGTAACTGGTTATTTTGTACTAGCCGACATTTTGCTTGCGAAAGGCGATGAGCTGAACTTAATTCTGCCGAAGTCTGCTCGTCCTCTTTACTTTTCTTTTCTTTTCTTATCAGACTTTTTGGCATTACCATAAATAAATATTGTTAGAAGAAAATAGTCAACATTTTTGCATTAAAGTTTGCAACTTTTTCACCGCAAAACATTACCGGTCTAGAGGCCGGTCTAGATGGGAAAACCTAGACCGCTTTCAATATCGATTTCAGCCAATCAACTTCTTGAATTCGGTAGTTCCCAGTCCTTGTGAGACACAGCCATATAATAAGTAATGGTAACAGGACTGAGTGGAGTCTAATTCGATCTGTTATCATAAGAGTGATAACAAAATCGGACGACCGCACAGCGGGAGTCCGATTTGTTTATNACACAGCCATATAATAAGTAATGGTAACAGGACTGAGTGGAGTCTAATTCGATCTGTTATCATAAGAGTGATAACAAAATCGGACGACCGCACAGCGGGAGTCCGATTTGTTTATCACGACTGAGTATGATTACAGACCGAATTGGACGACAGTAAGTCTTATTACCATGCAATTAATCATAAAAATTACAATTTCCGAGAAAAGGAGAATAGCCAAGTTATGGAAGAAAGGGAAAATTTGCATTGAAATATCTACAAAGGAGATGTAAACATTCCAAAGCCACCGCGCCTCCTACCGGCAATTAGGCGCCAAAAACACAAAAGCAAGCGCGCGCACGCACGCACGTAACTACAACTTTGAATATGATTGGTTGATTTAAACCAGGAGCCGTTTATGGCTCCTGTTTAAACTACAACTTTAAATGTGATTGGCTTATTGAACTGTCCGATAACAAACTGTCCAATAAAAGTTTGGCAAGTTAATTAGCGGAAAATAGGAGTTTTTTTAAACCAATCACAATCGAGGAAATTGTAATTTTTATGATTATTACTGATACATTGACTTGCTCTCAGCCAATCACAATGAGTTAATTTTCTTAGTTATATAAAAAATAAGAAAAACATAGTCAGGTAATATATCAAACACGAGAGAACGTGTTTTACCACCTGTACAAAGAAAGAGAAGAGAATATGATTGCATGGTTCGTCTATCTCCGCCAGTTATTTTTGAAGACTCTGTCAGACGTCGCCCAGGTGGCAAATACTATTCGCAGCATTTACATAAAAAATAGATTTATCTGAGTCGTACTTCAGATTCAAATTGAGCAACCCACTGCGCGCGCGCAATTTTCATAAAGTTAACACATGATATGATGAAACGAAAGTAACCTCGAAACATTTGCCCATTGTTAGCAGTCTGAATGGTTGAAAAGTTTTCATACATTTTACACTACTCATATTTGTTAAATATGATCCTGAAGGATTTCACCAACTGAAGGTTAAAACGTCCGCCGAGGTAGAGTCCAGGGATGGAAAGTAAACTTAAGATCAGGTTGAAAATATTAAAGTTTTAACCCTTTACAGCCCTTACTCGAAGCCTACTCTAAGAGCTACCAGAAAAAATTCAGACAGTTTTCCTGACACTGAATATCACCTATTACCACTATAAGAAATCAAAATCAGCGTTAACTCCGCTCCAGTAAAAGTAAGGAATCAAGGCCTTAAATAAACGCTAACTAGAGGCGATTGTACAACTTACGCTTAGGTTTTGGATTGTCGGCATAAAGACCTCCAATGATGAGCAGGATCACCAGCCAAGTGAGAAACTGTCTTGTTATAGGTTGCATTTTCAAGGAGACTTAAGCCTCTCTGCTAGTGTAGGGATATGCTGCATAAAAAGAACAGTTAAAATTTGAATTTTTCGCGTAATAGTTTTTTAACTGAAATACCTTGACGTCAGCGAATCGTAACACTCGCCTTATAATTAGTTTCGCCTTTATTTTTCTTGTGAAACAAGGTAAAAAATAAAATGCGTTTGTTTCTTTTGGATAGCGAATTACCAAAAGGGCAAAACGTAATGAAAAGCAAAGCAAAGGTTAGGAGAGGAAAGAAAAGGAAATGAAAGGAAACGAAAGGAAAACAGAAAGAACGGAAAGAAAGAAAAAAAGAGGGAACGGTGGAAGAGATACGTTTCTTTCACTATAAAGCCCTGGCCAAACTGACGGACTCGCAAGTAGCCGCAAGCTGAACTTGCGTAGAGACTTGAGTTAGGTGGCCAAAGGAACTCGCAAGTTTCCTCGCAAGGACAGCCAGTACGTGCAAGTCGCCAAAAAAAAGAACAAAAAAGAAAAAAAACAAAAACAAAAACAAAAAAAACCGCGGTATCCTGTATTTGGTTGGCTAATAGGCACAGGTTGCTATAAAAAAGAATGGAGTCACTCAACTTACGTTGACTTGGGTTGGGTGGCCAAATAAAACGGTGAAAAACTTGAATTCGACCAAAGTGAGCGCAAGTCATCGCAAGTCAACGCAAGTTCACGCAAGGCCTGACCAAACGGAGTTGCAAGTGAGCCCAAGTTTTCAACTTGCGTCTACTTGCGAGTCTGTTTGGCCAGGGCTTAAGCTGCATGTATACCAACTAGAATGAAACGGCGCCCGTTCAAACATAACTGGGAAAGAGAGAAAAGCATGCTAAGGGTTTATTGACAACCTCCCCACCCCTACCCCTCATCCTTCCTCCACATTTACCGCCCCCCCCCCCCACCCCTCTCGATCGATTGCCGACTGGCCTGTTTACCTGCACTCCGTTTATTTGGGCGGCTGACAGTGTTCTGTTAAGTTGAAAGTCAGATTTATGGTTTTGTAGCTCGAAGTCTTTAAGTTTGAAAAATATCATACAGCGCTTTTGAGAAGCGTTACCTGGAAACGAAAAACGAAACAATTGTTCAAGGCGAGGCCACAAAGGAAAACAAAATGGCGGCTTACGGCCAAACAGATCGTTACAGGCGTTATGATGGATGATTTACCTCCTGATTGAGAGTTCAATATACAAAAATGTTCATCGGAAGTCTTGTTGCATCCAGATTTTTAAGTCTCATCGCTCACTTTGTTGTTACAGTCGTCATATTTTTATCAAAGGTAGGTAGAGAAATAAACGTAGAGTCGAGACCTATGTTCATTTGCTCTGGAAAACTGATAAGCATTTAAGAAATGGAAAACACGTACCGTGTTTCTATCGATCGAGTTTTAGTATAAATCTACTAGCGTTCTATCATGAATGCCGTTCTCTGATTGGCTACGCTATTCCATATCTACTCTGTGATAGATAGTGAGTAGCGTAGCAGTGTGCCCTTCTCGGAGTGTCATTGAAGAAGATTTAGATTAAGTTTTGAACGACTAATAGATTTATACTGAAACAATTAGATTATTTGCCCTCGATATTCTATCGCGCGATAGTTGACGAGGGCACAGCTGTGCGATACTGTGCTAATGCGCCATACGTTTTGACTCTTAAGTATAGCTCTATAGTTAGTCAGTATATCTTTTTGCTGCAGTTGTATAATCTTATATACGCTTACATGTACATCAACACAACTTTTTACCACAATTGCTACTAATCTTGCAATCTGATTGGCTAATTCGCCATTGTCGTTAAGAGTCCAGACAACGCTGCTGGTGTCAATGTGTCATGCAATGCCTTTTTAAGCTTGTGCTCTGAAAAAAAAAAGTATTTGCTTTGACATTGATATTGTGGTAAAAAACAAATTGAAATGTGGTTAAGCGTCGTCTGTACTCTTATCGACAATGATACACATCATCACATTGGTCAAAATTTGTTGTGGACTCACTTGGCTGGGCCTTGTGGGTCCACAACACTTTGACCACTGTGATAACACGTATCGTTGTCGATAAGAGTACAGACCACGCTAAACCACAGTCGATTTGTTAATTTCAAAGAATGGAGGGAAGCAAAACTGTGTGACTGTAGAGAATGCAGCTTGAGCTTTGGAAATACACAATGACCACCAAATGTATGTTCAGTGCATGAGCTTGTCACTTACATGTACTGATTTTACTTGTACATGTAACATCTAGACAAGGACTATTGTATAATGACAAGAAAGACAACAAGTTTTCTGTATGATCTGTCTAGAGCCTTGAAATGTTAAAGGAAACTCACTGTGTATTTGGGAGTGCTTGTTTCTGATTGAGTTGACGAACATGTGCTCATTGTCCCAACCAGTGGCTGGTAATCAAACCTAGTTTCACTTTTACTGATACATGAGGTTTTTGACTAGTAAATCAGGATCGTCCATTTCCATGTTATAGCAACAGTGGTGCATGCTCAATGGATGATCACACCATTGTATGATCTCGAGCTCACCATTGAACAAATTGCTGCCAGTTTTTCATGCGTCTGCCCTGTTACTGATCATGAATTTCATCCAAACATTGTCAAAGTAGCTGTGGATCCATGAGGCGATAGCTGAGTGGATCTGTACACTATTTTGACAATTTTATGACAAAATTAACTGTCTATAAGAGGACAGACACATTAAAAACTGACACCAATTTGTTTTTTATGATAACAGTTCGCTCTCACTCTTTGACACATCACATAAATTATAAATTCATGTGTCTGTCTGCTTATTGACGATAAAAATTAGCCAATGAGCGCACAAGAAATTCTGTAGTTATCGTAAAAAATCCTATGGAAAACCATTGTACATGACGATGTTTTGAAGGGCTAGACTGGTAGATAGGGACCAGTCCAGAAAAAATAAAAGATGTCTGGCCCACGGTGTGCATGCCAGAAATTCATTTAGCATGCTTGTAGTCATTTTTGACAGACTTCGCTGCACTCCATCCCCAGTTAATGTAATGAACTTGACCCAAGTATTGCCATGTAGGGTACCCATGTAAGGTGTTTATTGACAATAAACAGTTCTGTTATATCTCATTATTCCTTTCAGGATGTGAATGTTAGAGCTTGTCTCCCTCTCCAGTATACAGACAGTGAATTTTCAACAAAGGATACGGAGTATGTACATAATTAATTCCCTTCAAGTGTACATTGAAACTAAGTGAATAGTATTTATTATTATGGCTTGTGTTTGTGGTGGTTATAATGTGCGTTCTGATTGGCTACTTCTAGGGAATTATTTTCTTGTAAATTATGCCCATGGGCCGATTATGGGCCTACAAAAACAAAGCAAAATGCCATATAATAAAACTTAATACTAATGCTGAGCATTCAGTCTTCTTGGGAAAATCTCAGACCTTGCCTCACAACCTTGCCCTATTTAAGACCTCACTCTCGGTTATTGAGTAGTTATGAATGTACACAGTATAAGTGAATAGCAAGTTAATTTTTAATCCACTTATTTGATTATTTAATATATATTTCTTGTTTGTTTACTGTTTTCACAGGTTAATCGTGGGCCTGTCTCTTACTCTGGTGTTTCTGGGCTTAGAGTTTGGAGGATTCCTTGGAGGTTGTTCCATGTTTAATGGTACTGCAACTCTGCTTTGTATCCTTTTCTATTCACACAATATTGCATTAGTATAATACTAATTAGCAGCCACTCAGCTGTGTTCTATTGAAAATCTGCAAATCTGATTGGTTCTCTCATTGTTTTTTATTACACAATAAGATTATGAGCTTGAGATTTCTATCACGTGATAGTTGACAAGGGCACAACCCGAGTCAACTATCACGCATAGAAATTAAGAGCACATAATCTTACTATTGTTTTAGTATAAATCTACCAGTCATTCAAAACTTTACCTAAATCCTCTTCACAGGCACTTTGAAAACGCCAAGAAGCAGGTCCCATCACTTTTTCAACTGGCATACACTAGCACACTACTCACTATTTACAACTGAATAGATAGTGAGTAGTATAGCCAATCAGAGAATGGCATTCGTGATAGAACGCTAGTAGATTTATATGATAGACAATGATTGCATGCGCTACTCTTGAAAGTTCTTGAAAGTGAAAATTATAATTTTAGGCTTAAAAATACACAAAATTGTAGGTTTTGTGGTGCAATTCTTTAGAGTTCAAAAGGTATAAAATATATTTTAGTCCTCTAGTAGTCTTATACTGTTGTGTAATCATTAAACTACTGGCAACAAACCTTGAAACTCATACATGTTATTAGTTAATCATTAACTAATAACATGTATTTGCACGGTTGAAATTTACTTCTGAGCCTAGCACTGCTTCTTTGTGGGAATATCTACTTTCTATAAATTTGTTCCCTTTTTATGTCAAAAATCAGGTCAAGTGTATTGTTTTCAGTTTTGCTCCTTGACTTTGAAAAAATGCAGCCATCGCAGCTCATTCCAGTGCTGCTATTTCTTTGTCTATGTTCGTCCTTGAGGAATGGGACTGTGATAAGTTCTGGTATGTCTTTGGATTCTGTAGGTGAGTACTCCAAATATCTTTCTTACAACTGAAGACTGTTCAATTCAGTTGGAGAAATCAATCAGAGAAATGTTTAGATCTCTGAAAGTTTTAGTTGTACGTGATATGTTTGGCATTGAAATGAGACAGTGGTGCAAAGAGGTAGATGGAAAAGGCTCTGTGACACATTTGGGGGTGGTGGAGGGGGTGGGGGTGGGGGGGGGATAGGGGAGAGAGGAGCAGAGGAGTCTGAACTTCCACCTTCCCATACATGTACTTCTTATTTCCACTTCCAACCCTTTCTTATTCAAAATAATTTCCTTAAATCTCATGTTCCCACCATCTCAGAAATCCCACCTCCCATGGAATTCCTGTCCTTAACTTGCGCCATTTACACTTGCCCCATCCCCCCTAACTGACCTCCCCATAAGTTTTGTCATACCTTTTACTTAGAATTCATTAAGTATGATTCATATAAGTTCAATAGACTGAATGGAGTACATAAAACTACAGGTAGATTATGATACCAGTTATTTTGGCTGGAACCAGCTTTCTCAAACTCATTAATAATCCATCAAGTTTAAATAAAGGAAATTATGACTGTAGCAGTGTTTGGATATTTCATCTTAATTAGCATATATTTTACAATTTTATTTCTCCGCTTTCTCCTTAGCTTTAGTTTTGATCGAGAAGATATATCAAACACTCAAGACAGTGTTTGACCACATTTCCAAACACCTCGAAGCTCATCAAAAATACTCTGCTGCTCGTCATATTTTCTACTCTCTTCTTAGTGTTTAGACATGTGGTCAAACATGGCCTTTCATGTTTGATATATTACATCAAAATGGTAATGTGGAATATTAGTGCTCTCTTCGCTGTAGAATAGTGCTGTACTTTTCTTCATGTAGAAAAATTATAGATTAAGTTTTTGGGTCTGGCTACCAAGCCTCAAGGTTCCTGTTGCATTCCCCCAACCAAATCAGTCAAAACTGTTTTTGTGGCACTTTTGCAATGTCTCTGATTGTAAGGTCTTAAAATCAAGTTGCAACTCCAGCCTTAAATTATAATAGACTAATAATTATATTTTATTTTCTACAGTGCTTTGCCAGCTCTCATCGAAACTTTTGTTTTGATCGGTGTCCTGCTATTTCGAGCTGACAGATAACATGGCTGTACCAAAAATAACATGACATTTCCTAATTAATTTTTATTAGCTCTTAAAAAGAGAAAGCTGCTAGTAAAAGTAATAGAGTGATGTAATATTGATTAGTAACCATGTAGTCCATGTTTTCTTCCCCGCATCTTGAACTTTTTTTTGCGATACATGTAGTTGTATATATTTTAAAAACGTGTTATAATGTGTCTGTAAATAAATGTAAATGTAATAAATTATGGTGTTGTCTACATTGCATTCCACATGTATGTATTTCTGCAATGTGTCAAATCATTACAAAGTGCATAACTTTGCTAAAAGCTGAATTTTGTAAATCTGTCAGAATATTAATGCTCTAGAATCTAGATAGTATATCTAAGTTAACCACACTGTCAGAAAGACAACTCAAAATGTTTTCAATTGTTTCTAAATCCATAACTCAGCAACCCAAAAAAGTACATTTACCAGTAGCTTGATGCAATGTTCTTTAAATCAGTTAAACTATGAGCTACAATGTATTTATATCTAGTTAATAATAAATTGTTGAATAAATAACCTTTGTAAAAGTATCTGTGAGGGAAATTGCAATAAAATTACCGAAAAGTTTTTGCTCCCTCTTGATATGTTACACAGACATTTGGATGAACTTTAGGGTATTGCTCAGTCAGGCTCAATTGGGGGGTGGGGGGTGGGGGTGGGGCTGGCTGTAAATGCTCAAAAAGGGCAGGGGGGGACAGATTGATGACAGGCCCTGTTTGTGCCCAGACATTTTGTGAGACCATCTTCTCTCTCATTTCCCATACTCAACTACCCATTTGACATGTGATGCAAAGAAAGGTTGGCCAAATATATTGATTGAAGTTGAAAAAACCTATGTATCTTAATCTGAGTTATGCAACTGGTTTCCGACCTAATTTGTCATCTACATGCATCAGAGACATGCAAATGGTATAATAAGTAACTCCTTTTATTGAACCTCAAATTAATTTAGGCAAATGGTGACCATCAGCTGGTATTAATAACATTGAAAAGAACTACAGCTTATAAAAAGATCTGTCATCTTTATCATCTGATGTTTGATACAACTTTGTTATTACGCTTAAGAGTTCTTTGTGTCTCTTTCAGAAGCAATTTTGAACAATCCAGCATGTATCTGATTTCCTCTTCTGTGGGGTTGGCATGTGCCTTCCATCTCACTAATCCATTACTGTCTATGAGAAATGCATGACCCACAATTTCATTCTCCAAGAATTTTTCCCTGATTGGTTTCAGGTTTCCAGTAAAGAAGAGATAGTTGTCCTGGAAGATGAAAACAATATAGAGTACTAATTAAACACTGTCAGAATCATTGAATATAATGATTACAAGAATGAGATTTGCTTTGCCTTCCTCCACTGTTGACACTGTTGCATTTCACTTCAATTTCTGTCATGACAAGAATTATTTTTTTGAGAACGAAACTAATTCAAGTTAAAATCTGCTTGCAAGTTTTTGTAGGTGGCTCATCAAGCCAAAGTTTAATCTGGGATCTCAGGCAGCCCTGACGATTCACTGGTCACCAAACAGACCATGAATACATCTTGGTGCTATAGACAGGGTTACATTGTGCACATAAGGGTTGAGCACTTTGTAGCTTGTCCAAGAACAGAGAACAGTAATGCCAAACAGTGCTTATTACCCTAAGATCACTAAATTCACTGAGGTCTATTATGCCCTTATCGTGAGACCACAGCACCTAAGTAAACGGATACAACATTAAATTTGCAAACTGCAGTCTTACATGTCTGTCTACAGCCTTTCGTTTTCTCAGATTACTTTCAATGAGTCTGCTGAATGCTTTGAAGAAGAACCCATCAACAACACTTATCTGCAAGAAAAGATATCCATGACTGAAAATGCACAGGACAACAACAGATTCACCACTGAAGCAAGTGCAAGGTGCATGTTTGAATTCAAAAACAATGAATTGTGGTGTTCCCTCTGGAAATTCCTGTTTAACATTACTTTAAAAATTTTGACTTAATTTTAAGAACTCCTTTGATTCCCCCTTAGAAGCCTTTGGAACCCTTGGAACCCTCCTTAGAGAGGGAATGGATATTTTCTGGAGGCACACATTATTTTCATGGCAGGTGTTTACAACAATTAATTAATCCATAGACTCATTTTAATTTAGCGGACACAACTACTAAGTCTGCAATTTGCTTTTGGTAATATTATTTATTTCAGCAGGCGTGCCACATTGGTTGGTATTCTTCATTTCCATTGTATGCTCACCTCATAATGTTGTGCAAGAGGTTCTTCTTGAAAGTGTTCCATGAATGGAAGTCTATACTTGTCACACATTGTCTACAAAACAGATAGGAACTCAATTATATGATCATCATACACATAGTATAACTAAACTCATTGTGGTATGACTGTGCTATATTTTAACCAAGTGTTAATCAGTCTAGTTTGTAATGTGTGATCGTCCGGGTGAGGGCAGTTCTGAAAAGAACTGTTGTTGGTGACTGGCTTTTCCACAACCTGAGTGGAAGTCATCTTCAGGATCAACTGAAAATTATTGCTTGTCAGTCAATGGTACTGGTGTAAGTTATAAGTCTCATCTGTTGAAATGGACATCATGTACATGATGGTATGGCTGTAAAAATCTGTAAAAACTCAATGTAAAGTTTGTCAAAAGCGATTGCCAGTCAGCTGTTGTTTGTTATCACTTGGTTTAATGCGACTAAAAAAATTTCCCAGATCTCCCAACAGGCGTTGAGCTAAGACTGTATGACCCTCCATACATCAATAAAAATTGATACTCTGTGCTCAGCTGCAGAGGTCTGTGGGAGCTTAAGGCCAGGAAAAACGTTAAACTGCATGCGGGTGATCTGTTCAGGAAATGAGACTGGACTTGAGAGAGCAGCGGAAATTGAGTCTAGGTGATCTGAACATTTATCAAAGCTCAACCCGTGGGCTGCCTAACGATTTTTACTGAGCTTAATAATTGCGCAAAACATTTTCTCTCCTTCCTTGAAACTTTTTCTTAAAGTTTAAAAAATACTATGCAATAAGTGAAATCATTCATGTTTTGCATTACCGTAAATCCTTGAATTAGCACCCCCCTCGAATAAGCACCCCCTTCGAATAAGCGCCCCTCTTATCGGCCAAAATTTAAAATGAGCACCCCTCCTGGAATAAGTGCCCCCTACCCTTCCCCCATTTTGTGGACGAGTAATGAGACAACAAAGGATGTATAGTTTTTGTCGTGTAGTATTAGATTTGTACATGGTTTCAATTTGTGAATGCGTTAAGTGAAGATGTTGAACACGTTAAGCACTAAAAGTGCCGTGATTTAAACTTTAGGATCATAAAGATCAGCTTTTTATGTTGATAAGCAGCTTATGTTGTTGTTTATGTGCAGATGATGTATTCAATGGAAAAAATGATCATGTCAGGCCACCATTTGGAAAATTAAATAAGCGCCCCGCCTTGATTAAGCACCCCCCTCGAATAAGCGCCCCCCAGTTTCTCCTAAATTTGAAATAAGCGCCCTGGGTGCTAATTCGAAGACTTACAGTACCCGTTATTACACTTTATACTTAGATGCAACTATTGGTCACAACATAATGTTGTAATCATAATGTTGCAATCAAACATCCAGTCATATCATACCTCTCCAAATGCTTTAATCCATAACAGCACAAGAGTAACATGGCCAACAAATGCTTGTTGTAAATCAACTTCCTTTTGTGATAATGTCCTTGCTTTGATCTTGGGAAAAGCTGATGAATCCTGAAATTGTTATCATCAAATTATTCATTTTTTTCTCACCACAAATTGAATATTTTAAAAAGGTACATTTCTTTTCACGTTCACATTCATCTTCACCTATTTTCTTCATTCTCAGTGGGACACAAGGTCCCATTTCTTTTCATGACAGAATAAAAGGTCATAAAAAAATATAATAATCGATATAATACAAAATTATTATTTTTAATGATACTACTTACAACACTATAACTTGAGAAGATTAATTAGCCTGCAAATACAGCCGCCTCTCATTACCCACCACCAAGGGTCGTCGGTGGTTGGGGATGAGAGGCGGCTGTATTCGTAGGCTAGCATGTAATATTTTATGGTTAGAACGTAATTTACAACCTACAGTATGTACCTTAGGTTCACTAGGTTTTTCGAATGCAAAGAACCTTTTACCACCGCTTCGACGAAATTCTGAACAGAATGAGAAGAAAAAATGTTTTAGTCATGGAAATATAATATTATTTTATTTAGTGATGGATCACCTGTCCTGGTTCGCATTCAGAATTGAATTACATCCATGTATCAAGTGTCCACAAGTCATTATTCCATTAGTGCCCATTCCCCTATCTCTCTGGGCATCAGTGGGCCAAATGGGAAAGGGAGGGGCTGAGGATTGATATGCACTGCAGGAGTCAACTGATGGATTACAAGAAAGGTTAGCACTGGAAAATCTTTGGTCTCAAAAACTTGTTGTCTTCCTAGAAAAATTGAATCAATACTTTCTGCTTGTCCACTTGCAGGGTACAAAAGATGGTCAGTGCGACCATGTTATTTTAGTTAATATTAACCTATTAAGGTGAAGCAAACATTTTTCTTACCATGAAGATCAGCAAAGTAGCCTTTAGAAATATCTTTGATTCTGAATGAAAAAAAGTATACTGTTATTTTTTAAAAAAAATTACCTTTCTGACATTTTGATCACAATTTATGTGTATAAGGGTGCATCCCTTTGGGGTGATCTGGATCAGGATCAGTGATCCTTAGATCACTCGGCTCATAGTTCATCAAAAGAACCAATGAATCTGTGACCAGAGTGGACAAATCGGTTCCTTTGATGTATCATGATCCAAGTGATCTTGTATCAGTGATACTGATCCAGATCACCCCGAAGGGATGCACCCCAAGTCACTGGCTTTTCCCTGGAGTCAAACCCTGGGTCTACCAGGAGAACAGATGACTTTATACAAGGAAAATTAAATCTTGTTGGATGTTGACTGCTATCAGTGGCAGTACAGTCCTGTACAATCTAATGCATATCATTCTGTTACACACATGAACAATCTGAATGTACATATCTTAACAGCTGAATGATTATAATATTAACTGGACATGTAGGGTTGCACATTTTAATGGTAGAACTTGTACCCTGGTTTAAAGGGTATGCAATCTTAGAGACTCCTCTACCCCAACATTCAATTTTTCAAGGTGTTGAATTTTTCCCACCCAAGGGTAACGTTTAAACACTCAATCCCCATGTATAACTACCTACGTATTTCCCAAACATATGCAGGGTAGGTCTAGAACAGGGTGATCCAAGAGGTAGGGGAAAGCCTGTAAATTTCTCTAGTTAACCTAAATAACACTCAGGTCAGCCTGCCTACAACCCCCACCTCTCGGGCTCTGACCCGGTGGTCGGCTCCGGAGTCAACCCAAGCGAAAGCTGGTAAAAAGCTGGTTTGCAGCTGAAGAAAGGATTGCTTTGTTTTTGGTTTGCTTGAGACATATTGTTTGGTTGCACTGTACAAGCATTGGTCTTCCGTATTGGCTTTTTTCCCCAAAGGTAGCTAGGCGAGATCGGCGAGGCATGGAACCATCTGCCATTAACTAAAAATTTGAGCGCTTACATTTCTTTCCTAGTCTCCATTTTCTTCCTTTTCTTTTCCTTTTTGGCATCTTGATCTGTGGCTAACTTTGTGACAAGGCGCCTTTGCATCGGACGTAGAAGAAAACACGAGTTGTTAAATAACCTACACGAGAGAGCGGCCATTTTGAAAGTCTTTACATCGAGACAGCGGTTTCTCAATCTAAGAAATTTTGTATGTTGTATAATTGAAAATCAATTGTCGCAAAAACATCGTACCCAGACTGCCACGGTCTTATCATCGACATAGCAAATATTTCCCAATACCCCACCCCCTCGGGGATGCGATTCGGTCGAATCTCCTTCTTGTCGCGGGGTGGGGGGTGGCGGGGGGGGGGGTTACATTGACTTCTGTATTATTCAACTAGACTAGGGTCTGGAAACATTGTTCGGGTTCTTTTTGTCTAACCTGCAAAAATAGAAGTTAGCTGGTTCTTAACTAGATTACAGCTTCTGTTGCAGAATATAAAGGACCATGAATTGAGCTACATGTATGAAATAGAACTCTATCCCGATGCCTGTACATCCCCGGAGACCTAGGAGCGGTTAATAGGGCGAGAAAAAGTCAAAGCGACAAAGGAGAAAATGACAAAGAAAAGTTGCCGATTTCTCCCGTGGTTTCGACTTTCCTTTGTCCCCACTAACACTAACCATCGTCTCCGAGATTGGTGTCTGTATCGTGTTACATCGCGTATCATCAAGATGGCTGCATATTGGCCAAGTTCTTTTTTTGCGTNAGCGGGCAAGATAGCTCCATCTTGCCCGCTCGGGTAACCAATCACAGCGCAGGATTTGATTCATCTTGCCCGCTCACGGAGCTAGCCATATAATAAGTGATGTTATTGTCCTTTATTTTCTTAAGGTGGCTCCATAGGGTAATCATTTGTAGCCTACGTGTAGCCGTACCCACCCTCCGAGCATACATTTATCACGTTGCCCGCGCTAGTGTTATGTTTTGAATGCTGTTTTTGCATTCGTTGTACACCCAGTCCTCTCAAATCATCAAGCTTACTTCTGAAATGTAACAAGCAATTTACTATCATCTCTGTTAAAATCTTGCCTTTTAAAAGTAGGGTCTGTAATGGCAGTTTTGTACTGGGTTACAGGGTTTGTACTGCCAGTCTTTTACTGCTAAGAAGAAACTGATGAGATAGATTTCCCTGAAAAACAAGCTCCAACTAAAGTAAATTCTTTATTACCTGTCGGCCAAATTTTACAACATTTCACCGAAGGAAGCACGAAAATATTCATTGTCCGTTTTACTTTTTGTGCTCATGTTGACATCATAAAATACCGAAAAACACTGACGTTTTCCTTTGAGCGCGCGCAGATTACTTCAGCTTTTGTCCTCAGCGCGCCTGCAATCGTAAAACTACGCAAAACTATTTCTCGTTCTTTAAAAGTATGCGCGCAAGTAAAATCGATAACAATAGTAGCAGGGTATTCTGCAGTTGCTCTATTTTCCATCAACACCTAAAAAGGTATTCTCCACAGAATCTCACCCTTGGTTATATTGAAATATTCCTAAGAGTTCGCCAATTTCAGCGTCAATATTCCTATAAAAAGATTCAAATAGAAAGGAATATAATCCAACTGAAATGAATAGCAGAGAGATTTGCCAACAGACTTAAGTTTTTTTTTTTCTTTATTTCAGTCCCAAATCAGTTTACAAAGTAAAAACGTCAAATGGCAGTCCAGGTAAAAGAAAGGAAACCTAGAAGAAAAGAACCCAATTAATTCTATGTTGTACTTATAAAGGCCCAGACAAATGGATAAAGGTAAAGAATCCGATCTCATTAACGCTTCGGCCCACGGGTCTGTTTCTGGAAAGCTCCGGAATCTTTTCGGGCCCGAAAAGCCATTTTTAATTAATCGGTATTTAAAGACAGAGATGTGTATACGCCTGAAACCTCTTGTATGAGGAGAACCTCTGTTCGTATTAAGAATTTATGAACAAAACAGCTCGGTAGTCAAAAGGTTTGAGATTTTGCTACGGCTTTTCGTGTGCGAAAACTATTCGGGACCTTCGAGAAACGGGCTCCAGGGGTCGGTCAACGCGTCGGTCGACAGTCGGCCGACAGTCGATAGTGTGTCGGTAGTATGTCGGCCGACGCGTTGGTAGTGCATGGCATGCAATGGCTAAATTGCATTGTGTGTCCACCCCAAAAGTTGTTGCCATGAATTTCACCTAATTCCTAACAATGGCAATGTTTGATAGCAACATTCACTTTCCTCGTCTGTTAAGGGAGGGGGGGAGGAATAGTTCCAATAAACAAAACGCGGCAGAAAGGTCTCAAAACTCCCCCACAAAGTGACAGAAACGAAACGAAGGGTGCCCCCAAACACAAACGGCCACAAAGTGTTGAAGAGTATATTAAAAGATGTACAAGCGAAAAGCCAGTAACCGGTTGTTTGGTTCCAAGTCGATTAATCCTCCGCCGGTTAGCCCCCAACAAGGAGTCGATCAGCCCCCAACTAGAAGTCCAAAACGCTGTCTATTTCTCGTTCTTTCAGCGTGAATATGGGGGCTAATCCAATTCTGGTTGGGGGCTAGCCGTGTAGGGGCTAGTCGACTTGGTGGCTATAAACGACCCGCATCCGAGGAGCCTGACATGCACTATGTTTTTCTCGTTCATCTCAGGTCAAAGAGAATGTTAGTTTGTATGTTCCAATGACGTGTTTGATAGTTTAGCGTCAATTTTTTCCCGTTAACGGCCAGAAATAGGCATCTCCAGCAGGGCGTGTTTAAAACACAAAATGGCGAAATAACGACTTGTCACTGTGGACGATCAGCTTAAATAGCGCTCTGGTTAGTCTAAATAGCGCCCTGGTTAGTCTAAATAGCGCTCTGGTAAACCTAAATAGCGTTCTGGTTAGTCTAAATAGCGCTCCAGTTCGCCTAAATAGCGCTCTGGTAAGCCTATACAGCGCTCCGGTTAGCCTAAGTAGCGCTCTGGTTAGCCTAGCTGAATAACGCTCCCATTAGCCTGAATAGCGCTCCGGTTATAAAGGTGGTTAGCTCTCGACGATTGTACGGATAAACTGTATCCCACATTCTTTAAAGTGCAATTTCCTCATTTCGCGTTTTAAACACGCCCTATGCAGTATTAAACAGGGTCAGGACAGAGTCAGTCAGGAAATGATCACTAACAGTTGTTCCAATTTCTCACTCCACATCTCAGCCATTACAGTGGAACCCCGTTAATACGGCCACCAACGGGCCATGAAAATTTGGCCTTATTAACGGGATAAGGTCAAACTCCATGACTGGCCTAATTGAGTGACGTCTTCATAGATACATGTATATCACAATTACAATCAGTACATACATGTATGATATTAATAATGGAAAGATGAAAATAACTGGTTTGAGAGGCCATTGACTGTATTAACGGGGTGGCCGCATTATCGGCGTTCAACTGCGACAAAAAACTGGCGGTGATAACAAGGTGACCGTAAGGTGGGGGGTTCCACGGTAGTTTATTTTCTGTTTATTATCCATGCCTTATTTTTAGTTATAATATAGGTAGGACACCGGGCGTGCTCTTATTGGTCAAAAACCCATGTTTTACCAGAGTATAAAACATAGAAAAAGAGTGTTTTATTGTTTTTCACCACATTACCTCTATATCATAAAGTAAATGAAGAAGCTGGAGCCATGTATTTCACTGTAATAAAACACTCGGGATATTTGAGAACACTCGAGAAATGTAGAAAACACTCGCCTGCAGCTCGTGCTTTCTACATTTTCCTCGTGTTCTCAAATGCCCGTCGTGTTTTATCGCAGTGTAATACACGGCTTAGGCTTCTTTCTTTGTTAAATAAAAGACACTCTCCTTCAGATTGTATTACAACTTATGAAATTTGTGTTTAAATAGACTTACATTAACGACACCCCGTGCCTCCCGGGAAACGAGGAGAAAAACCATTCCCGCGCCCTGTTTGGCAAATGCACTTGATCCATGTGCTGTGTCTGAATCCTTGCATGCAGACAGAATTCCGTACACAAACCATCCTGAACATCCAGAACCAGAATCCTTTGCATGGTTCTGAAAGATCAATGTTCCATATTAAATCAATGAGAAGCCAATACCTATATTATAGTATTGTAAGCTCAACTGGTTGCTAAAGATGTAGTGTACAGATATATCGAAGTTTACAGCTTTTTTGCTCTAGACTAGTGATTTTGGGCCCAATCTAGCTTTATCTGCAGGCACCTCTGAAATTAACCTACATACATGTACATGTAGACAGACCTACAGGTAGAAATCTCCATGCAACTTAACACAATAATCCTGGCTAGGGCTAATCTCGATCTTGTCTTCAGCTTCACCCACAAGAGATCTGGGAATGCAACAGGGCCAAATCGCTTGCCCTGTGAATTATACACTGTAGGCATGCATCTCCTGCAAAACTACCAGAGGGAGGCATATATCTTTGAAATGATGAGGCTGAAATGTCGGCTATTGACTTTAATATTCACTTGTTTATGTTTTAAAAAGTCGTTAAAAATTTTTATTTTATTAAAAAAAAAACTGGCCAAGAGATGGAGATGAACAAGTATCTGTTTGGTAATGAAGGGGAGAAAACTGCCATCACCACCAGAAAATCACTGAAAATGTACAAAACCAAGATTTTAGAGCATTTGTCCAGTTAGGCTCTCTAATGGGGGAAGTGGAGGAAAAATTTTGACCTTTCACTTACCAATACGACTTCTGCCAGTAGTCCACATGCCCACAGGCACTTGTCCTAGAAGAAATTAGGTAACGCATTATAAGCACATTATTGACATGTAACTAGTAATAACTTTCTGCAGTGCAAAATATTGAACAAAGCAGTGTCACCAAAATGAAGAACAAACAGTTCACCACTTACTGGTAACACCACAGCTATGGTTATGTTCCCTCGGTGACAGTGACTTGTTTTGCAAAAAAAAAAAAAAAAAAAAATTTATGCCACCAAATTGCCAAACTAACTTTGTTTTACCCATGTTTAAATTGTCCAAAAGGCAGTGGTTAGTATTATATTTCATTATATTTTCTCACATTTTCAGTATTTTTTGTATTTTAATTTGTGCTTTTTTGCAAAACACTTTTACCAGGAGGCCCTGGCTTGGAAGAATGGGAAACCACTGCTTTAAGTAAATTGTTAGTACTATAATACTACTATTTACTGTTGCTATTGCTGTTACTGTAACAATAACGGTGTACAAGTGGTTATTTGTTCCAAATTGCATGAGAAAAATAATGTGATTACTTGTTAATAATATAGTTACGTCCAATTTAATTTCAACTTTCTACACTCAATTTCTACACTGTTAAGGATTAATTGACATGCTCTCAGCCAATCAGCATGCTGATATTTTCGCACTGTACATTGTTATGAACATTACTACATGTCACTGTGGTCACAGCTAGTTTTACAAGGAGCTATATTTTTGGTGTTAATATAATTATCAAAAACACGCAAAAGAACAAACTTGATTCAATCATGTGACGACTTTCCTCTTTTCCACTATCCGGCATGTCCTGACTGAGTCCTAATATCAAAACAAACAAAAGTAAAACAAACAAACAAACAAACAGGCAAGCAATTAAGAAACCAAAAAAAAAAAAACAAAAAAACAAAGCCAACACATCCTATCACCATAAACCACATACTACTGTAGCATTACGATTTAGAGGTAGTTGCTTCCCTTACTGTAGGTGCTCGTTGAGTTACAAAAGTTTACAGAAGCATGCAAGAATTTATAAGAGCATGAGAGAAAGGCATAGACATAAAAGAAAAAAAAATAAACCAAAGAAAAAAAATGCTTTTTGCAGGTCTCAAACTCCATTCTTAAAGAATTAATTCAAGAACTTCATTCATAACTCAAAAATGTGTGAGGACCAAGTTAACTGTTTCCTCAGTATATTCAAGAAGTTGAACCTACTCAAATGCATGGTTTAGGCAGGCTGTATCAAGGTGGTTCCAAAGGGTTATTATTTAGAACATTTAGCCTTGCACCCACTGTTACATACATGTATGTTTTAACCTAAAATTCGTGGCTGTAAATTAATGATAAAGGAATAAATTAAAGTTTTGTTGTTGTTTTTTGTTCTTTTTGTTTTTGCATTATTTTGTTTTCACCTCTGGATGTCACTAAACCTATACATGTAAGAAATGTAATAAGCTACATAACCTGAAATCATAACCCTCCTTCTCGCTGGCTTTCAAATGGACTTTTTTTTTAGTCTTTCAACATGATTACAGCTGTCCTAATATTATCATTATCAATTTTACGGGAATCTTATTATTAACCTTCAATACAGCCCGATCCAGCAGCCCAGCCATCACCAATATAGGTATCTTTACATACACACGTAAAGGCACCATCATCTTCATAGCACAGGGCATTTACATCACAGGCAATTTTTCCAACCGGTTCAAAAGCACCAGTACAGATCTCTGTGTGAATAATAATGATAAATGCAACCATCAATAGAGGAACAGGTGCTGTTTAATAATTATTTTCAACTAGTATCTGTCTTTTACTGCTTTTTTTTATCACTTTAGGGTGAATGATTTAAAACAAACTAGTCAGTTCTGTCATAAAAGAACTAATTTTCTTTTCCCAAAATAGTATTATACACTCAGATATTGAGTAAAACCACCTACCACCATGATCAGGGCCCTGAGAATATGTGCTGGAGAACACCAGGGCAGGACAAAGGGTAGAAAAATCCCATCACGAAAGAAAATCCTCATTTTCATTGTGCAAGCAGAAACTTGTCACTGCCGTTTCTACATTTAGCCTGCTGATGACAGTCAGACATTTAAACATTTGAAACTGCGACCTAGCAGCATGTAATCCCATTTACCGCACTCAGTGCATCACTCTTCTGTATTCGCAATTCTCTTCGGCATCTCTATGACAAAATCTTAAACACCACAGAAGCCATACAGGGAGTGCACAAATGAAGCTTTTCTGTATATTTGCAGTGGCCATTTTCATGGCCATTTTGGCTCGTTTAATAATTCCACTCTCTCGCAGTCAGTATCGAACTTGTTTCCTGTCCCCAGCCAAAAGGGAAAAACAGTTGAATGAATAAGCCAGGAGATTTCATAATTTTTCCACAAAAATCAATAACGTCAGGAGAATCACATCAGGAATATCAGAAAAAAGAGCAACAGGCAAGGGAATCCTTAGGTATATAAATCAGGGCTCCACACTAACTGTAGCCAACTAGCCACAGACTAGTAGAAATTTAGTTTTGGCTAGTAGGTTTTCGATTTCCACTAGCCACTTTGGCTAGTCACAAAATGAAATTGGCCAAACTAGTTTCTGTCTTCCACAAGGAAGACAAACACAAATACTTTTCTTGGAAACAAGGTCACTAAAATGAGACATGAGCTTCCTGATAAAATCATGCACAAAATCGTGCAGAACTGTAAAGGGATAACATTTCATTTAGGCTAACGACACATGGGTGATTTGTCGTCATATGTGACCGTGAACGGGAAAACGTACCTTAATGCTTATCCGTTAAATGGTCGCTAATGGACGGATAGCTAACAGATAGTTAACGGCCTTCACAGCATTCTAACGTTTTGTCCTAACGTTCTAACGGTTATCTAATTGTGCCTAACGGATGATCAAAGCGTTCTAACGTTCTCTCCTAACGTTCTAACGGCTAACTAAGTATGCCTAATGGATGAAGCGTTAACGTACGTTTTCCCGTTCACGGTCACATATGCATACTGACAAAACTTACCACTACAGAGGAAATAATTAGGTGAGAAAGATTTATTTCCTTCAACATTATTTTAAATCAGCAGCTTTTACATGTAGCAGGCAAAGACAGGTAATACTTTGCAGTCTTGTTCGGAGAGTTGTTTTGCTTTTGAAACATTTCTCGACAGTTTTTACAATAACGTCTTGGGGTCTCAATGTTTTTCTAAGCAAGTCTAAAAGAAAAACAGAGTCCTGAAAGTCTTTTCCGAAAATTCACTGGATTTTTCTTTCTTTGGGATCTCTTGGCCTGAGAGATTTGATGTAAGGAAACATCATGTATTACAGTGAGTCACATGGGTTGTGCTCTCAAGTCTTGGTAGCAATTCTGCTGTTATTGGACCTAGCCAACATCATCAATGCTTGGCTAGAGAAAAAAGTTTTTGGCTAGTGACATCTAAGTTGTCACTAGCCATTAGGCTGATAAGTTGAAAAGTTAGTGTTGAGCCCTGTAAATACATCGACATGGAGAGCCAAATAGTCTGACTCCAAAAAGTCCCGATCTGACCGATCAAAACGTCCAGAACATAACCCCTATAAATTCATTGAAAGAAGCATGTAGTCAACGTCTGTCAGGGAACTATATGAATGAAACTGAACAATTGCTTGTAGCAGAAATGAGAGAACCCTGTGTGAGACTCAAGGAAACAAATCTAGCCTCGTGATCTCATGCTGAGACTACTATTAGACCATACAATCCCTGGCAGACGCAAAATTCGTGAAATAAGCCCGTGCTTCCGGGGGATGAACTGAAAGTGAACTAAAGTTAAAGCACCTACCACCAGAATCCTGGGCCTGAGAAAACGCGCTGGAGAACACCAGGGCGAGGGCTAAGGATAGAAAAATCCCTTCACGAAAGAAAATCCTCATTCTCATTGTGCAAGCAGAAACTTGTTACCACCGTTTGAACATTTAGCCCGAAACGCAATCTGCTGATGACAGTCAGACATTTGAAAATTTGCCATTGCGACTGCAAGCGTGTACGCGAGAGCAAGCAGCGCGTAAGCCCGTTTACCGAACTCAGTGCAGCGTTCTCTTGTGTTCTCAATTCCCTTCGACATCTATACGACGAGATCATAAAAACCACAGAAGCCGTACAGGGAGCGTACAAATGAAGCTTTTCTGTATACTCGACTCGCAGTAGCCAATTTCGCGGTCATTTTAGCTTGTTTACACTCTCTCGCTGTCAAAATCGAACTCGTTTCCAGTCCCCCGCGAAAAGGAGATTTGAAACTTTTGCCATAAAAATTATTGGCGTCAGGAGAGGCATATCAGGAATATCGGAAAAAAAAAGAGCAACAGGCAAGGGAGTAATCAGATATATAAATACACTGACATGGAGAGCCAAATCAAATCGTCTGACTCCAAAGAGTATCTATCAGGCCGACCCAAACGTCCAGAACATAACCCCCAAGCCGGCGGTCATGTTACGGGGCAGGAGCATATATGTGATATGCTCCTTTATTATATTGCTAGCTCCGTGAGCGGGCAAAATGAATCAAATCCTGCGCTGTGATTGGCTAGCCGAGCGGGCAAGATGGAGCTATCTTGCCTGCTCGGGACTACCCGC